TGAGTGAAATTTGTGATGTAATAGTTTAGTTGGCAGACACAGAGAGAAAAAGATTTTAAAGGAAATCTTGGAGAATAAACAGTCCTTTGATAAACCCAGTTGAATAAATCCATTGTTCTAGGGAGGAAACTGTTTACCTTGATGAAGGCTACTTAGGTAGTTCATTATTGAAATAAATGGATTTCAGAAAGTCCATGAGACAGACATCTTCCTGGATAAGAATTTCCCAGAAAAAATAAAGTCTGATTAATGAAGAGTGTTGATTAGTAAAGTCATGCTCAGGTTGACAGTAAGCCGCAGGTTTCAGTTCTGAGTAACCAGTAAATGCAAACCCTGCAGAAGATATTAGATTTCTCAGAGTCCTTAGGATAGGAAATTGGTCTCATGTGACGTCTGGCTTACATCTGTCATCCCTATCATTCATCCCTATCACCAACTTCCCTGGTTGCTCAGACGGTAAAGCGTCTGCCTGCCATGAAGGAGACCCGGGTTCAATCCCTGGGTCGGGAAGATTCCCCTGGAGAAGGAAAAGGCAACCCATCCAGTATTCTTCCCTGGAAAATCCCATGGTCAGAGGAGCCTGATAGGTTACAGTCCATGGGGTCGCAAAGAGTCAGACACAGCTAAGCGACTTCACTTTTTGTCATTCAGCAATAGCAGACATGTGGTAGGAACTGGACAAATAACTTATGAAAAAGAATGAATAAATAAATGAGTGCAAATAAACAGTCCCTATTACTGTTTAATTCAAAGCCTTAAAACTTTTGTTTTTAATGTCCACTATCATAACGACTTCTTGTTTCAACACCTATTTCATCAAGAAGAGAAAGCAAAAGCAACCGTGCTAAGCCTCAGACATGGGCACACAACAAGCATGTCTGGTGCATGACTTTAGACCACTGATGTCTTACAGACTCATCTTACACTGGCTGGAAATCTGATCTCCCAGCATATGGTTGGATGGCATCACCGACTCAATGGACATGAGTTTGAGCGAACGCCAGGAGGTAGTGAATGACAAGGACGTTTGGTGTGTTGCAGTCCATGGGGTCACATAGAGTCAGACCTGACTGAACACCAACATCAGTCCCCTGAAATCCGAAAGTGACCATTTATAAAGAAATGGTGTCTCTGTCATGGGAGGCAGTCAGAGCCCTGAACTCAGAATCCCGCCTGTGATTCCTCCTTTGGTGCCCTGTTAATCTCCACTTGGAGAGACTCACTGTCCTTACAGCTGACTGATGGGGTTTTGCCAAGCAATCAATAAATTCAGCTTTGTTTCAATTCCTAATTTTATGGTCATTTTTCCTTTGTGCTTAACAATTCTAATAGAATCAGAATCCCAAGATATAATGAAGAGGTAGACCATGAATAAAAACCCAATCCCACTGTCAATGAGATTCTAAAAATATAAATATTGTTTTCTCCAAAACTATAGTCCTAAACTTTAACAATAGTGTGATTTTTTTAATAACTGAGTTTTTTTTTTGGGGGGGGGGGTGCAGGGGCGTGCTGCAGCGCTTGTAGAATCTAAGGGTCCCGAGAGTGAAAATGCAGAGTCCTAACCACTGGACCACCAGAGATTCCCTATAATCATGTAATTTTAAAATGCAGTCATTAGGGACTGAGGCACATACATTGTGGCTGATTGGTCACGTGTTTCAAACAAATATTAAAACATCGTATGGACAATGACAAGACCTATTTGAAACCAGAACTGCCCCAGAAATTCTAGGACACTGGGGTATTGAATTCAAAAGCATCTCCACTCACACTCCTTCCACTGTGTAACTTTTTCTCCGAGACTGTTTGAAATTCCTTTAGATATGTGTTGAAATCAGTGGCATTTTTTTGAAAGTAAACTTCTCTAGGAAGTACAGGGCATTATTCCTTTATATACACTCATCCATATATTATGAATTTGGTCAAATAAGGGCATATGACTTTGGTACTTACTAAATAACAGGGAAGGTCTGAGTCTGAGTCAGCCACCTCAAATTTCTGCTTAGGACAGAAAGTGCTCTAAGGACTTCCCTGGTGGTCCAGTGGTTAAGAATCCACCTTCCAAAGCAGGGGATGTGGGTTCAATCCCTGATCAAGGAAAAAAGATCCCACATGCCATGGGGCAACTAAGCCCTTGAGCCATAACTACTGAACCTGCATGGTCTAGAGCCTGTGTGCCTCAACTCGAGAGAATACATACTGCAAATAAAGACCTGGGGCCGCCAAAAATAAATAAATATTTTTTTAAAAAATGAAAGTTCTCTAAGCCAATAAGCCCTGGGAGATTAATGTCCAAAGGGAGAAGGGAATATGTACATTCAAGGAACAGTCTCCAAAACCAAAGGTGGTCTGGATCTCCCTCTCTTTGTGAGTTGGGACCTGCCTTTAAGACTTTTAGGATGTCTTGGTCATTGAAATACTATGATCTGTGAGCAGATGGGGAGAGATACCTCAGGTATATATATTTTTGAAATATTTTCATTTTGTTTGTCTCTCCAGCTGAGCTTGGGCTTCCAACATGATAGTCTCCATTTAAAATGTTCTGTTGGAGTATTCAGTTCATTTATTTTTAATTAAAATGTTATTAAGATTATAAAATTGGTATAAAGATCAAAAGCAGACAGGACAAATTATGTATGTGCCGTGATAACATTAAATATTCACCCACTCAGCTGATTTGGATAACTTCAGAGTGAAGAGCAAGAAATCACTATGGCTTTCAACTTTGCTCTTTCCAGTTTCCCATCAGAAGTCCCTGGGCACCTTCCACTCTGTTGTGATTCACGAGTCTGGCCTCCTAGACTGCTTCTAATGGAAACTTGCAAATAAGTGATGTCTCACCAGCCCATCAGAGTAGAGAAACAGGGGAAAGGGAGTGAAGAGTCAGTTACCAGTTATCATCCCAAATAAGAAAAACCAGTTTCATGATCAACAGAGTCCATGAAACAGATGCACCATGGGTATATTGACTTGACGAAAGAGCTTCAGTGCACATTAAGGCATCTCCAACAGTCGGTTCCAGGACCCACAGGAAGGGTAACTACGTGCAGACCGGCAACAGCACTACAGTTGATTTGGCTTTGACATGACTCCTACCCTTGCAGGCAGGTGCTGGAAACGCTGAGAATACGCCTACCAAGAAGCCGTAGCTTAAGAGGAAGAGAAACTAGAGCTAACAAGTACTTCAGAATTCATGTCTCTCTTCAGTCAGTCAGCTCAGTCGCTCAGTCGTGTCCGACTCTTTGCGACCCCATGAACTGCAGCACGCCAGGCCTCCCTGTCCATCACCAACTCCCAAAGTCCACCCAAACCCATGTCCATTGAGTCAGTGATGCCATCCAACCATCTCATCCTCTGTCGTCCCCTTCTCCTCCTGCCCTCAATCTTTCCCAGCATCAGGGTCTTTTCAAATGAGTCAGCTCTTTGCATCAGGTGGCCAAAGTATTGGAGTTTCAGCTTCAACATCAGTCCTTCCATTGAACACCCAGGACTGATCTCCTTTAGGGTTAGGGTAGAAGGCAATGGCACCCCACTCCAGTGCTCTTGCCTGGAAAATCCCATGGATGGAGGAGCCTGGTAGGCTGTGGTCCATGGGGTCGCGAACAGTGGGACACAACTGAGCGACTTCACTTTCACGTTTCACTTTCATGCATTGGAGAAGGAAATGGCAGCCCACTCCAGTGTTCTTGCCTGGAGAATCCCAGGGACGGGGGAGCCTGGTGGGCTGCCATCTATGGATGGGGTCGCACAGAGTCAGACACAACTGAAGTGACTTAGCAGCAGCTTTCAACAATCCATTGTGGTTGAGAATAAAAGGGAACAAAACATAAACGACCTACTCAAGGCCATTCTAAAGGTTTTCAGGTAGTAGAAAATTGGTACTAGCTTCTAAGTCCTACAGTCTTTCCACTACACCAAGCAAAGAATTCTAGGTGAGATATATGCACACCTGTGTGTATGTCTGTGTATAAAACACAGAGAGAAAGAAACAGGCTTCCATATAGGATGTACAAACCCTGCACTTTCTTACTTTTGTTTCTGGAGTGTGTAATTGTATTAGTTGATCTCAGCTATGAATTTTTATAAATATAGCATTTGACCCACTTTGGAAAGCTGGATCAGCTTATCTGACCATCAGTAGGTTATGTCAGATTATTCTTAAAGGTTTCTTAAAATCTAAGTTAATGTTTTGTATGAAACTTTTATTAAAGAGAACAAATTCAGAAGGAAAAAAGTATACTTTTCTCACTAAATGTTACTCAGTAAAAAGCAGACAGTCTTAAAAAGATCAAATATTTCAAAAATAAAATTAATATAAATGAAAGAATCTAAAATGGTTTAGGAAAACTGGAAGCAACTGAAAATTTTGCATTAAAATAATCCTTTTCAAAGAAAGAGGAAAAATAACTAAATTGATTCCTGAGTTTCTTAGATAAAGAAATCCTAAACTGTATCAGAGGTTTGCTTCAAATTAGAATCTACGTTAGCTTAGGAAAAGCTAGATGTCTTTTCCTAAGTCCTGGGTCTAGGAGTCAAATGCAAGCTGTAGGGCCTGTGTCCCTGAGGCCCAGTAGGGTCCCCACTGGAGGAGCCAGCAAATCACTGGAGAAGGTATGCTTGTGCAGCCTCCGGATGCAATTCTCTGGCCCTCTGAGTTTCTGTGAGCTCCCGAGGCTTCTTTAATTCACTCCTTTCTGTTTAAACCGCCTAGACTGGCTTTTGTTTCTTGAACCCCCTCACACAGAGGCACACACGAAGTACTCCCTCCACACAACGGCCAGAGTGAGTTTCTAGGCAATTACCGATACATTATGCTTCCCTGATCAAAACCCTCCAGTGGACTCCCCATTGCCACCAGACGACAGCGCAGCCCCCTCAGCAGGACTGGGCCACACCTGGACCTGCAGACCTCTGCTACGGCCTCCATCCCCGAAGATCCACCCCACACGTCTCCCTCCCCTTCCCCGTCCATCACTCTGGACCTGCAGACCTCCGCTATGGCCTCCATCCCTGAAGACCCGCCCCACACGTCTCCCTCCCCTTCCCCGTCCATCACTCTGGACGTGCAGACCTCTGCGACAGCCTCCATCCCCGAAGATGCGCCCCACACGTCTCCCTCCCCTTCCCCGTCAAGCACTCTGGACCTGCAGACCTCCGCTACGGCCTCCATCCCCGAAGATGCGCCCCACACGTCTCCCTCCCCTTCCCCGTCCATCACTCTGGTCCTGCAGACCTCTGCGACGGCCTCCATCCCCGAAAATCCGCCCCACACGTCTCCCTCCCCTTCCCCGTCAAGCACTCCACCCCAGCTGCAGTCGCTTCGTTCTGTCCCTCCGACATACCAGCTCCTTCCCATCTCGGGGCGTGTACTCACTATTCCTTCTGCTTCCAGAACCTCACCGTCGCTCCTGCCCTCACCTCACTGAGATCTCAGTAAAATAATCACTGTCTTGGCTACTTTACCACTCTAGACCCTCTCTATTACATTCTCGTATTTTATCTTCTACTTAGTTCTCACATGTACAAAAATTATTTTATTGATTTATTCCCTTAACTACATTTGGTCTATTTCCTCATATGTGAATGTAGACAGTTTGAGGGTAGGAACTCTGTCTCAATCCAGCATTTGGAACAATGCCAAGTAAATCATAGATATTCAATAAGTATTTACTACATGATGGACTTTCAAAATATCTTTGAAGGTTTTTATGAAGTTTAGCTTAAAACATATATTGCTTATTTTCTAAAAGAAAGCAATGGATTCTCATTTCAAATAGCTTGGAAGATACAAAAGTTTACAAAGGAGAAAATGGAAATCATCTTTATTTCCACACTTAGGAACAAGAACTAAGAACAGTTCCATCTATTTCCCTTACACATTTTTTTTCTATAGAACATAGGGTCATTTTACATAATTGAAATTATTTTCCATATTGTATTAGTTTCCCAGGGTTACAAATTACAATTTGCTATTACAAATTGCTACAAACTAGAGGTTTTAAAATAAAAGCGATAAGCAGCTTACAGACTGGGAGAAAATATTTGCAAATCATATATCTGATAAGGGGTTAATATCCAAAATGTATAAAGAATTCTTACAACTCAACAAAACACAAATAATCCAATTTAACAAATGGGCAGAAGATCTGAATAGACATTTCTCCAAAGACATAAAATGGCTGATGAAGAAATGCTCATCATCACTATCCATCAGGGAAATGCAAATCAAAATCCCAATGAGATATTACCCCACAGCTATTAAAATGGCAGGTACCAAAATGACAAGAGATTAAAGTGTTGGCCTGAAGAGGTAGAAAAATTGGAACCCTTGTGCGCTGTCAGTGGGAATGTAAAATGGTGCAACCACTATGAAAAACAGTGTGGAGGTTTCTCAAAAAGTTAGAAATAGAACTAACAAATGATCCAGCAATCCCATATCTGGGTATATATTCAAAATAATTGAAATAAGAAATCTTGAAGATGTTATTTGTGCATTTATGCTCACAACATCATTATTCACAATAGCCAAGAGGTAGAAATAATTTAAACATCCATCTATGGGTGAATAAAGAAAGTTTGGTGTATACATAAAACAGAATAATATCCAGCCATAAAAAAAGAAGGAAATCCTGTTCCAGACTAAAACATGACTCTTGAGGACATTGTGTTAAGTCTAATAAAAGCCAGCTACAGAAGAACAAATACTGCCTTGATTCCACAGACATGAGCTATCTAAAATATTTAAATTCACAGAAACACAAAGAATGATAGCTGCCAGGGATTGGGAGGAAGGGAAAAGAGAAAGCTGCTACTCAACTCATAGAGAGTTTCAGTCATGCAAAATGAAAATGTTCCACAGATCTGATATACATTATACACTTAAACATTTGTTAGGAGGGTGGATCTCTTGTGCTTTACCACGATTTTTTCAAAATATTTTTGAGAAGAGAGGTTTATTCATTCACAATTCAAGAGGCCACAAGTGCAGGGTCAGGGCGCTGCCCTCTCTGAACGCTCTCGGGAAGCTTGAGCCCCTTGTCTCCTCCTAACTTCTGCATGTTTCTGACTCTGTCTGGCCTTTCTTCACTTACTGACACATCACTTCAGTCTCTGCTTCTGTCATCATGCGACTTTCTTCTCTATGTTACCTAGGTCCCTGTGTGTTCATGTGGACGCCTAAATAAACACCAGTCATCAGAACTCAGGGCCCACCCTAATCTAGTACACGCGCTAAACTGCTTCGGTCGTGTCTGACCCTTTGCGACCCTAGGATTGTAGCCTGCTCTGTCCACAAGATTCTCCAGGCACGAATGCTTAAGTGAGTTGCCATGCCCTCTTCCAGGGGATATTCCAGACCCAGGGATTAAACCAGCGTCTCTTATGTCTCCTGCACTGGCAGGCAGGTTCGTTACTACCAGCACCACCTGGGAAGCCCAATCTAGTACGACCTCATCTTAATTCATTGCATCTGTGGGACCTCCCTGGTGGTCCAGTGATTGGGAATCTGCCTTGCAGTGCAGGAACTGTGAGGTTTATCCAAGGCGGGGGACTGATATCCCACATGCCTTAGAGCAAGAGCCTGCACCCCGCAGTCCTGAGCCCTCGAGCTCTGGGGGCAGAGCACCACAGCTAGAGGGTTCCACAGAGAAAGATCCCTCATGAGGCAACAGAGATCCCACATGCCGCAACTAAGACCCGAGGCAGCCAAATAAATACATAAATATTTTTTTAAAAAAGACTTCTTCCAATTCAGGGGGTGCCAGTTCAATCCTTGTTTGGAGAGCTAAGATCCCATATGCTTTGCAGCCAAAAAAACCAAAACATGAAATAGAAACAATATTGTAACAAATTCAGTAAAGACTTTAAAAAATTAGTCACATCTGCAAAGACCCTACTTGTAAACAAGGTCGCATTTCTGTAGATCTCAGTTCAGTTCAGCTCAGTCGTGCCCGACTTTTTGCGACCCCATGAATCACAGCACGCCAGGCCTCCCTGTTCATCAACAACTCCAGGAGTTCACCCAAACCGATGCCCATCAAGTCGGTGATGCCATCCAACCATCTCATCCTCTCGTCCCTTCTCCTCCTGCCCTCAATCTTTCCCAGCATCAGGGTCTTTTCAAATGAGTCAACTCTTCGCATCAGGTGGCCAAAGTATTGGAGTTTCAGCTTCAACATCAGTCCTTCCAATGAGCACCCAGGACTGATCTCCTTTAGGATGGACTGGTTTGATGTCCTTGCAGTCCAAGGAATTCTCAAGAGTCTTCTCCAACACCACAGTTCAAAAGCATCAATTCTTCTGTGCTCAGCTTTCTTTATAGTCCAACTCTCACATCCATACATGACCACTGGAAAAGCCATAGCCTTGACTAGACGGACCTTTGTTGGCAAAGTAATGTCTCAGCTTTTTAATATGCTGTCCAGGTTGGTCATAACTTTCCTTCCAAGGAGTAAGCGTCTTTTAATTTCCTGGCTGCAGTCACCATCTGCAGTGATTTTGAAGCCCAGAAAAATAAAGTCAGCCACTGTTTCCACTGTTTCCCCTGCCAGAACTCAGCTCAACTTCTTTCAGACTTTACTCTAAGACCCAGGTTCAAAGCTGTGCTTCAGCTCTGAAATGACCCCAGCCACCGGTCCTCCTACCTCTGCTCCTGCGGGTGAGGCAGTTCTATTCTAGCTCCAAAGACGGGCAGTTCTTTGCTGCCAGATTACCCCTCTACTCACCCTACAGTTTTCTTCTTTACCACTACTAGAGATTTCTCTGATCTTAGCCCTGGAAAGCTGACCTCAAGCCCTTAAACCATTTCTTTTTATTCGTGCAATTTATTTGAAATGCATTCACACAGAGATTCTACAACTGGTTCCACCCTTAAAAGAGGTTCAACTTTTTCACATGTAGCTCTACGACAGCACTTGGACTTGGTTTTTTTGTGAGAGGCCTCCTAGGTGGATCTTCTCTAACTAGCTTATCAGAGGTGGGCTTCCATCATTTTTTAAGAGTTTATGTACTATTGAACATGGCCTTGAATTTCTGGAATTCCATCTCATCCAAAGAACAGAAAGACCAAGAATGTGCCAGGCTAAGGAATGCTCAGGCAATACCCTTGGCTCATTTCTGCTCTTCCACTCAGCCTTCTCCCAGGAAAGCATCATTCAGACAATGTCAAAATACATTTGAAAATACAGATATATTAAGATACATTTCTCAGAGGCTTTAGAGATTTCTGGTTAGAATTGCACTTGGAAAAGCTAGTTCTTGTAGCAAGTGCAGAGAATAAAGGAGAGGAAAGAGACTAGAGAGGAGAATGGTCAGTAGGTCATTTCAAGACTGGAAGAAATTTGGGAGCTGGGGGAGGACCAGAGAGGGGGGAAAAGGTCATGGGACCTCTGCTATTCTGACATGACCCACTTTCCCCCTTGTCAAGGACAGGTGTCATTGAGCTGGTTTAGACACATATGGACTATTAGAAGAATATCTGCCTGGGACTTCCCCTGATGGTCCGCTGGTGAAGACTTCATGCTTCCAAGGCAGTGGCCTGGGTTCGATTCCTGGTCAGAGAACTAGATTCCACATGCCACAGCTAAGACCCAACAGAGCTAAAAAAAATAAAGAAGAACATCTGTCTAAAAGAGACTGTGTGGAGTGCCAGTGGCAGGAAGACGACAGTACAAGCTTTGATACTGGTGCTTAAGCAAAACAACGTGGGAAACAGAAAATCTCTAGGTGGCTTTTAAGGTTAGAATACCGTCAGGGCCAACAAGCTTTTCCAATCCTACATGTTCCCATGGAATAAAGACAGACTGCAGAAGGCAGACTACTTTGCTAAACAAATACCAATGCTTGAGAAAATAGAAAAATACTCATGCTCTAAAGAAAATTCTTAAACAAGATACCAGTGTGCTCATTATAAAAATATTACTATAATAATCAAAGAAACCATAGAAGTCATGAAGAATTAATTTACTGACCAGAATTTGAAAAAGAGTAGGACTTGGACCCTACCATTTCTAGTATTGAAAATTGCACATTTAAATATCATTAAAAAATTATTTGGGGACTACTTGACTTTCAAATTCTAAAAAGGAGGAACTGTGAAGGAAATAACTTTGTACTTCCTTGGGCACAAGAAATATGACATAATCCCTTTTATCATTTTTGTTTTCCTGTGGAAAAATTCAAAGCCAAAAATATGATTCAAGTTAAGAACCTTTAACCTTATTTCATGTGATGCTGTGCTGTTTGTTATTAGGACAGTTCTGATTAGAGGTTTATTGACTCAATAGATACTCTCTATTATATATTACTGTTTTAAAGGAGCAAAAACAACTCATTAGTTAGAAACCAGCAAAGCATACAAGTGTTTTGTTCAACTGACAATGAGAGAGAGAACCAGCGGAAATTTACTGCTAGAAAACATTATCACCAG